TTTCCGGATTATCGATCTTTAGATTGAAGAGTCAATTATATATGTCAATTTTAAAATAAATTAACTTTCAATATCAGGGGCCTTCGATATGGAGCCACGTTAACTTTCTAAAGGGATAAAATTAAATTTAAAAGTAAAATTCAAAAAATTTCCCTGAGTACCAGTAAAATTCCATGAGAATCCACGATTTTCAAGGATAAAAATGAAACTCCCTGAGAATTTCAGGTGTTCCCGGTAAGACCCACCCTGTTATAAAACGATAAAAGTGATATACAAAAGAGGTTACTTCCGCGCTCATTTTCATTCGTTTTATTACACTGAAAATACAATCGAATTAAATCTATCCGCATTACAGAAGAGCTAACGTTATTACCTTTCCAATGCCATTTAAATACATAACTCGCAAATTACCAGAAACGCCATCTCTTGAAAAAGGACCAAGACTTTTTGTATCCATCTTCAATCAGATGACAAACACATCTATAAAGCAAACTTTGAATTATCCATGATTCGTGTCAGATATATAGAAATAGAATTCTTTTTGTAATTTTATGTGTGCCATGTAATATAAAAAGATATCTTAAAAAATCAAAATATAAAACACATAGCGCACACAAAATTATGAATAAAATTCTATCCAAAAAATCTGACGCGAAGTACAAATAATAAAAAGTGAGCCTTAATTCAATTCACCTAAAGGTGAAACGCGACACCTTTGCGATCTTCGACAGATACAAGTTGATTTTATTTCGCTCGAAATCGTTTCTACATGGGAGAATTGTGGAGAAGAGGTCATCGATCATCGAGAGAATTTTGCGACATAGCAAGACTTTCGATTTAAGTCCCGTCTATCGCTTGCCGCTTTCGACGTTTTTTCTTTCTTTCTTTCTCGGTGCAGGTTATTCTCAGATTTTTTGGCTTTTGCCAGCCGGGTTGCCAATGCCCCCAGAAAACTGAGATACCACCAGCTGTGTTCACCCGCTTCATTACCTACCGAGTGAACGCAGAGTGGCTCCCTGTCCTCCGAAAGCTCGTTCCGCTGATCTCTCTCGTACATGCGCACTCTCTTACCGACCGGATAATGCCGTATAATTGTCACACCACACATCACATGAAGCCTCGTTGCGAATTTTCGCTCTCATCAACGTCCGTGGAATGCTGTATATTGTTTCTGCCAAACCCCCGCCGCGCGCGATGTCGTCTTCTTACAAACAATCCAACTCAGTATTCTCCCGCATTATAATTTCGGTTACACACAAGAATTGATTCCCTACGATAGAAAGTACGACCAGAAAAATGGAATTTTTTTAAATACTCTATTAGTTGAATAAAAAGAATTACTCATTTTTCCACTTTCTTATAAATAACATTCGCAGACAAGGATACTGTCTTACGAATTTGCAGTACTTTTATCTTGCTTGCGAGTACTCTTATTATCGTATATCTGCTGTATATAAAAACGTACATAATATTTAACTTATATATTTTTAACACGCGGATACGACGCTTTATTTTTTTCGGAAAATTAATATAACGATTAAGTGGCCTTTACAACTAATTGACACGGTTACTTGCTACAGTTTACTTAAATCTTAAATACCGGAAAATATCGTTCAACCTATGGTATAATCTAGCGATCAATTGCAAAAAAAAAATAATAAGACAGAAATAGCTAAGAAATCACTGTACAAAAGCAATTACCGCGCATCATTAACAGACATATAGTGCAGGCTCGCATGATATATTTCACCTGACAACCTTGAGACAACGTACAAGTTATGAAAGTAACCGACAAGCATAAATCTTGATCCTCTAACGCATTTAGTGGCTTAAATGTATGTTTATAACACCGCGCGAGTTCTATTCTCTTGTATTACAATAAAATGTATGTTCATTTAAGACTTTTTTTTTCATTATTGGAATATTGGATCATGTATCTCATACAACAGATTTGATATCTATTTAAATTTTATTCAGCAGAGATTTAAAATTTTGAATGTTGAAAAAAAATATATACAAAAATATTAATTAATATCATATAAAAGCAGATAAAAACATCGAAACATTATATGTCAAAAGAAATGTCAGTAAAAACGAAAGATTGACACGTGATCATTTAATCTTTCATATTTTCATGATATCAGAGGGTCCCCCCCACTGATCTAAATCTTTTTGTAATTTTTAGATATTCAAGATCGATACACGGGGAAAATTTCCTTTTCAAATTTACCCTGAAAATCATGTTAATCATGGGACAAAGTATTTCGACAAATTTTACTGCACGGAAAGAAACGATTTTGTTGAAAGATCTAAAAACTTTGCCTAAAACAGATCTGAAAATAATTTTTTGTTGAATCATCAAAATAATTTGTTGTAACGTTAAAACTGATAAGCATTGCTATAAAACATTTTGATATTCTAGCAATCACTTTGACTTTCACACAAAAATTACTTTGAATATTGAACAAAAATTATTTTCAGATCTGGATTCAGTATAAAATTGTTCTTTCCGTGTGTGCACCACAATAAATTTGTTGTAATATGTATTTTAAAAAATAGTGAAATAAAATTCGTCGAAATACTGTGTTGTCCTACGATTAATACGACTTTCAGGGTAAATTTTAAAATAAAATTCCGTGATAGAGACATGAATCGTCATTGTATTCACACTTATAAGAGATTATAGTGTACGATCGACAGTAAAATTTGGTTAACATCATATAAATCACATTACACATGCAACTGAGATTACATTTAAATTTCAATTTGAGACGAAGACTCATAAGAGCGCATCGAAAAACAAGGGAAAAACCAGAATGTAACAATTAAATATTAATCCGAGCATTGTGAAGAAGACGCGACAAAGTGAGACATCGGCGTTCGATAAATAGCTCCGCACTTGCACGCGGTCAATTTAAAGCACCTAGCAGACTCGAACTGTTTAAAGCACACGTCATTATCTTTCCGCTTATCGCGACGTCTACAACGCCGCGTTCTATCTTTAATAGCGTCAACAGAGCGCGGGCATGTTTTGCGCGCAATAGTGGCACAACCTGCGGCGAAATCAACGGCGACGCGGCCGATGCGACCGACGTCGCGGCCACGTCCCAAGGTCAATGCGATAAGTCGGTCAAACCGCGGGGTTATCGCGCAATTCCGCATTTCGTTCAGCACGTTTAAATGGAAAGCCCAACACTCGCGTGCAACCTCCGGCTTCCCGTCCGAATTAGAGAGCGATTTTTAAATGCGGAATTTCCACCATTCTCATCGAATTGTCCATCATGATACTCGTTCAATAGATTAATAAAATTTGAAATTTTTTCCTGACGCAAATGTAAGAATTCACACACAATTACTATTTTTAATACCTATATATATATATTTTTTTTACTATATTTGACGACTCAATATTTTATGTCTGCTTACATCAATAATTTATTCTCATTTTAATTATTATAAATAAACGTTCACTTGCCGCACTCATATTTTTTGGCAATAGAAATATACAAATAGTTAAGAAAAAAAACCTGCGTTTGAAAAAATAGTGAGTCCATAGTTCATGAATGACGAAGCTAAAAATGGCCCACCCGATGACGCACACTATTTCGGCGTGCTCAGCCAATCGTGCCAAGGTTTGGGCAATTGCGTATCACGTAATTCACACAACAGCCTTAACTTTACTGCCATTCAATTACTACGGTATCCGTAATACTTGTTTAAATATAGTTTCGCACAAAAACTTATTCGCATGATATATATTTAAAAAAATAATAATAAAAAAAAATTAAGCCTCGAGAGTGTACTGCATTTATTTACGGCATAATCTTGTTCATATACGTTCTCGTTAATCAATTAAAAAATTGTTTGCAACACTTTGCGATTAATGTTCTTCTTTTTTTGCCGTCCACTAATTACGTAAGAATGCTCATCTCGTAAACGTACGGTATAAATACCGCTTCTCGATCCAATCGAGAGACTTTGTTTAGAACGACAACTAACGACGACAACACAGAGCCAATTTCTCTCACAAGCGGCGTAGAAAGTTGTTTTCGGAAGCTCACGCGGCTTCATTGAGAGCGCTTGGAAACGAGCCAATAGGAGATCGCACAGCAGAAAGTTTGTCGCACATCGATGTGTCGTTCGCGAACGACGTCACGCATCGTGACGTGCATCTGTGTGTACATCCGATACACCCGATACAGGTCAGCATATGGTACATCCGAGCGGAATCAACAAAAAAAATGTACAAACAATGATAAAGAATTAACATTCTTCTTATGAAAATCTATTGAAAAATTATTACCATTTTCGAACGAGATATAAAATTCACGCAATGCGAATTGTACAGGATTCTGCTCGGATATTGTGAAAAGATTGTAGAAGTATAGATTCGTTTGCACTACAACATTTTTACAGACACTTTTATATGCAGCAAGAATTTGTATAAATTTATTTTTATCTTTTAAATGCGTAATGAATAATTATTCCAAAGTTAATAATGTAATAAGATACGATTAATGATGGTAATGTTTAAAGACCTACAACTTATTCGTATACTGTTTAAAAATTAAGCCTAATTTTCTTCAATATCTCGTAATAATTTACAAATTATATCGCACTATTATCAAAAATGTGATATTGTAAAACAAGTTGTTTCGCTTATCCACAGTCCCGTTTGATTATCGTTGCGTCCGTACGTTTTAAAATTTAGAAACAATACAAAATCACAAGCTAAATCGTAATCGCAATATCGATGATCGTGAAGTGCAAACGAATCTTAACTGTCAGTAAGATATACTTCACTGATAACAAGGTCAATCTGGGAGATTTGTTCTCCTTCTAATCTTTATTGATTAAATATAAAATTGTTAATTTCTTTAATGTTAACTAATTGAGATCTCGCGCTGAATACAATAAAGTAACTTTTTTGAAGAGAAAAAAAACTAAATTCTCCAGATTGATCTTGCACGCTTTGACAAGGTAGAACAAAGACTACTTACAGTCTGCTGCTGGGCTCGTTGTTAGCCTCGTCGCCTTCGATTCGATACACCTTGCCGGACATGACGTACTCAAAGCTGTCCGCCCTGGAGCCACCCTCCTGTTCCATAGGATTCCACTCGTTACCATCTGGATATCCGTCTTCGCGTAATGTCGTCGCTAGCACAAGGCGGAATTTATCTCCTGAACACACAACAATATTTTGTGATTACTCGCGTGAGAGAATTATCCTCATACGGAGTATTTTCGCCCGTTAAAGATAACCCTTTACTTTAAGTAAATTGCTAGAAAAATATCTTAGTTATAGGCAAAGTAATTTTATGTATATAACATTTAGTTACAAGTATACTGGAAAAATTATAAAGATTTGCTGACGAATAGTAATTGACACGAATTACTGCTGAAAATAAGTAATAAATGGAAATGAATTTTTGATTCTTAAATGCATGGTATATAAAAATGTAATTCCCGAAAGGAAAGAAAATAAATCTCTTGTAGAATTGAAAGAATTAAATGTACGAGAATTGAAATGGAAAAAAATTGTACTGATTCGTTGCTGCAATGACCAGCTAATGACAGATTTGATCTGTATTATTATACCGGATGTCTGCGCTTCAACGCAGGATAATCCCGCGGATGTTTCTCGAGTACAAAAAAAAAGCGCGGACAAGCTGTGCAATGACGAAATATAAACGAGTCCAATAATAGCGTTCATGTGAATGCATCGAAAACACACGGTTACATCAGTCATCGTTGCATCCGCTTGTTGGCGAGCGCTATTAGATTGTATAAACTAATAAATCCGCCCTTTTTATCACGCATACGAGATTTTTTAATGAATACGCGGCACTATCCATAAGATACAGTTTGCATCTTGCTACGTAGCAGTAAGTACACTTCATTGAACAAGATGCAGTTCACGGAGAATTTGCAAAAAAAATAAAAATATAATTAAAGTACTAATTAGTAAAAACTTAAATTACGACTAAAACCACAATTATCCATCAATTTGTTTTAATCTCTGCATTTGTGAAATCTACGTGCAAAAACTAATTGTATACTTCATAATTATCATATACCTTCTATCGTCAAATGAAAGATTGATATATTTAAAAAATAAAGTTTTAATATTTTAACACACACGCCGCACACACATATAAACATGTGATTAATAAATCTTTATATCAAACATTAATTGTAAAAATATACTCTATAATTCAATTAATTAATTTTAAGTTACGAAACTTTACTCGCATTAACAGCAAAATGTTGTTTAATCGTAGATATCAAGAAGAAAACAAGATTGTTAGTTTAAATCAAATCACTATCGTTAAATTAAATTAATTTAACAGGATTTAAATTTCTCGACTTCAGATCAATAAAATTACGTAATTTCAATAAAATCGTAATTTTAAGATATCTTTCTATTACATCAGATATGCTTAATGACATCCAAGTAAGAGTTTGTCTGCGTGAAATTAAGCTAATCGTGCAAATTAAGCGCTACTGGGATTGCGAAGAAAATCGACGAAGAAAAAAAAAGAGCGAAACAAGAGAGAATGCGAGAAGAGATATAATAGATAGAGAAGAGAGAAATTAGAGAAGAAAACTACAAAAAAAAAACGCAATTATAAATAATGCAAGAGTGAACAGAAAATAAAAAAAAAGACGAGAAAAAAGAAAAATTAAAAAGCCTGCACGCTTTAAAACTTGACGAACAAATCAACTGGCGACATGAGGAAATAACTTACTGAAATCTCAAGTTAATTTCGTCATTTCAATCGACTACACAGATTTGCCTGAAGCAAAGAGAGATCCCAAAGAGAGATTTCTGGGACTATCGTCGTAACGCAAAATGTATTTTGAAGTGGATACACACACGGGATCGTAAGGTTCATCTACGCACGAGAGTAGTAAGTCGTGAGCCGTAAGAAATTAAACAATCAAGAGTCGAATATGAGAGGAATAATCGACTGTGATTGGTCAATTTCTTACGACTTTACTACTCTCACTGGTAGATGGACCTTTACGCATAAATTAGTTGATACGAAAAAAATTGCCCGTTTCCACACGAAGCCCTGAGCTGGAGCGATACGTAAGAAAGCCTGGGACGCAAGGTCAAGGTTAAGCACACACAACGGCAGGTATGGCGCGAGCTTTAATCGATACTATTGTACATCGTCGCCGTCGTTGCTACCGTTGCCGAGCGAGCCCCGTTGATACTTGCTCCGTTTAGCAAGTGTCAAAATTACATCTCTGCAGCAAGAATAAAACAAAATTTTAATCGACCAAAGGCTCTCGCTGCCGTCTGTCGTTATTCGTATTAATATTTCCATCTCTTTTCAGAAAAAAAGGAAAGAAAAGGAGGAAATAGGTTAGGAATAGGAAAATTAATAAGGTCGACAACTATAAGTAGTTGTAAAGTGTAGGCGTAATGGTTAATGGTTGAGGTAAATGCGAATGCAAGGAAATGTAAAAGTAAATGTAAAGATGGAGATTGCAGATGTAGATTGTAAAAATGAAATTGAAAAGGCTGTGAGCTCTTAAACGCAGTGACAGTGAATTCTGTGATAGTTGGCTGGTTAAGCGTATAGGATCATAGAATATAGAGATGGGAATAGGGTGTGGATGGATGTGATAAGGTTTTTAATTGTAAACCAAGTCCCCCCCTTTTTTTCGCTTGTAAATATGCTAAAGGAATAAACATTCTATTCTATTTCCATCTCTTTTCTGTGGCTTACATTTGTCACAGTTTACCGTCGTGCGTGCTTAACGCTGAACAACATGAAGATAATAAATCAGGATAGAACGTATCGTGATCGCAGTGAATTTTGTTTCAATTAGACGGTAATGTACTACTATAGAAAAAGTTTCCTTCGCGCGCGCACGCGCGCGTAATAGATAAAAGGCTCATTTTGTCGCTATGTGGTTATCAGCGCGAATAAGTCCGGGAAAATCCGGTCAATTGATCTCACCGCGCTCTCCAAGAGTATATAGGTACGTGAGAGTCGAGCTTACATCATATAATGGTGTCATACCGTAACAGCAACGGCTACTACAGATCATCCGGTCGAGCGTTGCGCGGATAATATCTCTCGCGCTTAAATTAACCCTCATTCAACCAAAACGCCATGTACCGATGGATGGACGTATCAGTTTGTCTCTCTTGTCGTCGTCGTAAACTTTTCCGATAACTCGAGGCGTGCGGGTTACTCGCAAATTGGCTGGAATAAACTTCAAGCGATTCGCAAAGAGAAACGAAAAGGGGGATCCAGAAAACGATATTTTGCCCTTGTAGATAATCGAGACGATTTTAAGGCAGAAATCCAAAGAAAAACACCGCTCTAAGACCCATTTCTATCATTGTAGATTAACTTTAATCTCAGTTCGACTTATCTTTTTCTAATTTCTTTAGAATTGGAAGAGGATGAAGACTAAATCAAACCGAGATTAAAGTTAATCTGCATTGGTCGAAATGAACATAAGACGAGTTATGAAACTGATAATTTCGTGACGAGAGAGAGAGAAAAGGAGAGAGATGCGATAATTTTCTGAAGTTTATTAGCCGCTTTACGCGACAGTGTGCAATATCAATTACGTACGAGTATTCCAATGACTAATTCGACCAATTAAGGTATCGGTTAATGCGAAGCCGGAAAGAGAGAACGAGCTCCGAGGGATCGCGCTCGCGCGATTCACGACAGTGACCTTGAGAGAGCCGCGGCGATTCTCGCGTAGGGAGGAGAGCCTCCCACGAAATCGATAACGCGTGACAGCGCGCGGTCGGCAGCAATATATATATATATATAATATATATATATACATGCGCACAGGGGATCCAACACAACGATGCGGCTTACCTCGGCGCGATTCGGCTCGACGCGGCGCGGCGCGGCGCAGCGTCCGTCCGGATCCTGTCCGAAATCCGCCGCCATCTTGGCCCGTGACGCGAATCTCGGGGCGGCGTAGTGCGCTACTCCCAACGGGTACTCCATTCCTCTCGCTCTTTTTCGCGGAACGGATCCCGTCCGTGCCGCACGCGCGCGCGACCTTGCCGACCTTCCCCCGGTCCCTTCCGCGCGCGGAGATTCCACGGGTTCACAAATCGCCAGTGCGCACCACCAAATATTCTCCGTCTCGTTTCTCCCTGCTGACGCCCACACGTCGCCAAACCCCGAGTAGTAACAATCGGCATCGTTTTTTTTTCTTCCTTTTTTTTTTTTTTTAGAGAGAAATGAAAACGGGAGATCCGTCGAAATTTTCGCGAGATCTACGTGAACGGCGTGCGACGCCTTGAAACATACATCCGTGCTGCCGTCAGAAGTCCGATGACGGCAGCGGCGCGGCGGTCCGAACACGGAAACGGCACTCCCGGGTATACTCGCGACGACGCGCGACGTCGCGTATTCAAAATGTCTGCTCGCTCGCCGTCGACGACGACGAAGCGACGTCACGTCGCGCACATTCGAGACATATACAATTCGCACCTGCGAAGTAATCCCGCGTTGACGGCGCGGTGCACTTGAACGTGGCGCGCACGAAACAGCGGTTCGCGAAACGACACGGAACTGACGGGAGCACATGAGGTGGAGAGACGACCAACCGCCGGCCACATCTTATCTCCGACCGAGTGTGGCGGCGCCGGGAGGACGGACGAGGCGAGGTGAGGAAAGGAAAGAAAGCGGAACGCGAACGCGTTTTACTCTCGCTGTCGTCGAGGAAGAGACGACGAGAGAGCGAGAAGAGAAGCGCGCGTACACGCGGAAAGAGGGACACCAGAGACACGCACACGGAACAGGCGAGCGAGCCGCTCTCGTCGCCTCTCCTCTCCTCCGAGAACGGACGAGTATCACGCGTACTTACGACCGACACGGCTGCGAGTCGTGGCCGCTTTGACCTTGGCATTGAACTTGTAGGCGCCGGGCGCGGGACGAGGCGCGCGCGGCGGAGGACCTGCGCCTGCGGAAGGGAGCGCCGGAGTGGGGAGCGCGCAGCTGAGCTGCGGAATGAGTGGCCCGGGGTAAAAGTGTGAGAAGGATGTGTGTGTGTGATAGAGAGAGAGGAGGGGAGGGGAGCGCGGAAGGGGCAACAGGGGCCGAGGGGATAACAGAGAACGAACGATATTATAGTGGGAGGGAGATTGCGTCATCTCGCGCAAGCCTGAACGCCGCGCGTCAATACAG